CCGTGGCTACATTTGAAATGGACAGTAGGACTTGCGTACAGTCAGTAGCTGTTGCTTTTATCAAGTATAAACACTTTTCACAAGATTGCAGTCGTATACAGTGACTAGATATTCAGTGACATAATGTGTAGAATTCCGTAACAATTTATATAATACACGTACAGTACATTGCAATAATGATAAGAAATATATTACTCGCCCTTGCCAATAAACAATTTCGTTGTGACGGATTCATTACGAAATAAAAAATATAGAAGCTTACCTACTACACTAACAGTGAAAACCCACAGATATTAATAAAAAAATACTCGCAGCTAAAGGACAACAATTATAACCTACCCGTATTCACGCCTATTAGATTGTTTTCCAAACACAAAATACCTCACGACCTACTCACCGACACTGTCCTCGTAGTCCTGAAGCACGGGCACACGTGACAGGAAGACCCCGCGCGGTATATGCTGGGATTTGTAGTTTGATCTGTCGTAGTCTGTATCGCACATCGAAGGAAATATTTTCAGCGAAATACTACATAACCCAAAATGCAATGCACAAAGTAAGTGCGGATCGGGTTGTAATAGGTGAATGAAAGCAGCTATTGAGTAATTTTTTTTGTTGCGAGGTTTATTGTAAAAATATTGTAAAATACAAGAAGTACGCCTCCAGGAAGACGTTTGATTGCGATTAATGTTATTGCTGCGATCGCAGCTGGGATGGGGCCAGCGGCAGTGCATTTCATCTGTCGAATCGGTGACTTTTTTCATAAATAGGTCTATCGTGGCGACATTTTAACCATATGCAAAAACAATTCACACATTAAGAATTGTTTGATACCGTAGGGTATTTTTTCTACACGGAGATACTTGACGATAAATGCCTTGCTACTACGATGAGAGTGCTAATGTTTCGTTGCATAAGATATATTGTTAAATAATAATATTGACTTGCCTGGTCTTGTAAGTTTTCCGAAATCCTAAATATTAAGAGAGATTCAGGGAAGTGTCAGAGCTTGATTAAAGGGAACTGGTCTTCTATATTGTGTCCGTGATACACCGCAAATACAGTATAGCTCCAGGGAATCTCAAAATGTGTACCGTTTCCAAGTGTTACCACACGGGGGCCCTGCAAGACAAGTTTTAACGATAGGGGTCCTTAATTGTTCACGTCATTTCTTCATGAATAGAACATTTTACCACATAGTGGAGACCTGCTAGCCGTCCAGTAGTCCAGCTGCCACCACCGTGTTCGGAAGAGTAGAGCGTCCAGGAAGTTCAATCATTCGCCTCCAACGTCAATCGCTAAAAGAACCAACAGATTTGCTAATGCAATGAAAGAACAGACAGAAATTAAAATCACATAGGACTAAAAAGTTTTACAACAGTACAGGAGCTGTAAAAGCGATAGTATGATTAGGAGATATAAAGGGATTAATAATGAAAGACCATAAAGATATAGTAAACGTGCTAAATATATTTTACACAAGTGTTTACAACAGTTAAAAAATAAATCACCAGATCCTGGTGGTATTTTCTCAGTCGTACTCAAGGAAATGAGGAGGAATGGTATTCATAAA